CATTTTATAGCCCTTGATGAAAGTGATTCAGACAAGTATCATCAGTGGGTGGTGACACCAATTAGTGAAATGTCAGTATTACCATAGTCCAAAGTATCAGCTCAATGAGGACATCTTACTGCAAAGTAGGAAATGTGCTTTCTCACAGAGAAATCCAGTCTCCACTTCCAACAAGTGAGTGAACCCAGCATCTCCAAGAAGAGATGGCCTTCAGGCCTGATACAGCAGCAAGTGCAGAGCAGCCCCCCAGGTCATGGTCTTGCCCAAAATGTTTAGCCCTGATCTCAAGCCTTCGACCTGACTTCCAGCAGAAGGGGAAAGTAGTGGGTAGAAGAAATGAACCTTGGCTAGCCCAGTGGCTCACGAGGCCTGTAATCCCAGCACTTTGGGAGGCTAAGGCAGAAGGATCCCTTGAGCTCAGGAGTTCCAGAGCAACCTGTGGTCCCAGCTACTCCCGAGGCTGAGATGGGAGGATTGCTTGATCCCAGGAAATTGAGGCCGTAGTGAGCTATGATGCCCCACTGCACTCCATCCTGGGCAACAGAGCAAGATTTTGTCTCAAAAAAAAAAAAAAAAGAGAGAGAGAGAAAGAAATTAACCTTGAAGAAACAAATTCAGAATTCTAAAAGATAATGCCTTTTATCTTCAAATAGCCAATGTCATGGAAAAAAGTGGGGAGTCTAAAGAAACATTACAACTAAATGTAACAAGTAAAAATGTGACTGGATCCTGGTTATTTTTATTAAAATATTTTTAATTGAAAATCATAATTATATACATTCCTAGGACACAATGTATTGTATATAAAATGAAATGATTAAATCAAGCTAATTAACAACGATCTCCTCACTTCCTTTACTGGTGAGCAATTTGAAATTTACTCTTAGTGGCTGGGCACAGTGCCTCACACCTGTAATTCCAACACTTTGGGAGGCCGAGGTGGGTGAATCACCTGAGGTTGGGAGTTTGAGACCAGCGTGATCAACATGGAGAACCTTGTCTCTACTAAAAATACAGAATTAGCTGGGCATGGTGGTGTGCACCTGTAAACCCAGCTACTTGGGAGGCTAAGCCAGGAGAATCGCTTGAACCCAGGAGGGTGTGTGCCACCACGTCTAGCTAAATTTTATACTTTTAGTAGAGATGGAGATTTACCATGTTGGCCAAGCTAGTCTTAAACTCCTGACCTCAGGTGATCTGCCTGCCTCGGTCTCCCAAAGACCTGGAATTACAGGCATGAGCCACTGCGGCCAGCCTGAAATATATATTAACTGTAGTCACCAGGCTAGGCAATAGATCTCAAAAACTTACTTCCGTCTAACTAAAACTCTGTATGCTTTGACCAACATCTTCCCATTCTCCTTTTCCCTGTTCACCCCGCTTCTAGCCCCTGGTAACCTCCATTTTACTTTCTACTTCTATGAGTTCAACTTTTTCAGATTCTGCTTATCAGTGAGAGCATGTGGTATTTGTTGTGTGCTTGGCTTATTTCACTCAGCCTAATGTCCTCCAGGTTCATTCATGTTGTTGCAAATGACAGAATTTTCTTATTTTCAAGGCTGAATAGTATATATATACCATATTTTCTTTATCCATGTATCTATTGCTGGGCCCTTAGGTGACTTCCATATACTCTTATGAATAATGCTGCAATGAACATGGAAGTGCAGATAACTCTGCAACATATTGATTTTGTCTGGGCGCGGTGGCTCACACGTAATCCTAACACTTTGGGAGGCTGAGATGGGTAGATCACGTGTGGTCAGGAGTTCAAGACCAGCCTGGCCAACATGGTGAAACCCCCTCTCCACTAAAAATACAAAAATAGGCCAGACTTGATGGCTCATGCCTGTAATCTCAGCTACTCAGGAGGCTGAGGCAGGAGAATTGCTTGAACCTGGGAGGTGGAAGTTGCCGTGAGCCAAGATCACTGCACTCCAGACTGGACAACAGAGTGAGACCCTGTCTCAAAAAAAAAAAAAAAGAGCCAGGCGCAATGGTTCATGCCTGTAATCCCAGCACTTTTTGAAGCCAAGGTGGGGAGATCTCCTGAGGTCAGGGGTTCGAGACACGCCTGGTCAATAGGATGAAACCCTGTCTCTACTAAAAATTAGCTGGGCATGGTGGCGAGTACCTGCAGTTCCAGCTACTCAAGAGGCTGAGGCAGAAGAATTGCTTGAACATGGGAGGTGGAGGTAGCAGTGAGCTGAGATCGCACCACTGCACTCCAGCCTGGGTGACAGAGCAAGACTCTGTCTCGAAAAAATCATATTCATAAATTTAAGAAAAAAACAATAAATACAATAAGTAAATGAAAATGAAAATACAAAAATTAGCCAGGCATGGTGGCGGGGGCCTTTAATCCCAGCTACTCAGGAGACTGAGGCAGTTGAATCACTTGAACCCAGGAGGCAGAGGTTGAAGTGAACTGAGGTTGGGCAATTGCACTCCAGCATATGCAACAGAGCAGGACTCTGTCTCAAAAAAACCCATATTGATTTCACTTTCTTTAGATACCTACCCAGAAGTGAGACTGCTGGATACCGTAGTTTATGTCTGGGTTTTTGAGGCACCTCCATACCATTTTCTATAGTAACTGTGCTAATGTGTATTCCCACCAATAGTGTACAAGGTCCCCGTTTTCTCCACATCCTTGCCAATGCCTGTTATCTTTCATCTTTTTTTTTGTAATAGCCCTTCTAACAGATGTGGGATTCTGGGTTTTTGGGGTTTTTTGGGGACTGAGTTTCACTCTTGTTGCCCAGGCTGGAGTGCGATGTGCAATCTTGGCTCACTGCAGCCTCTGCCTCCCAACCGATTCTCCTGCCTCAGCCTCCCGAGTAGATGGAATTACAGGCATGTGCCACCATGCCCAGCTAATTTTTTGTATTTTTAATAGAGAGCGGGTTTCACCATGTTGGCCAGGCTGGTCTTGAACTTCTGACCTCGGGTGATCTGACCGCCTCAGCTTCCCAAAGTGCTGGGATTACAGGTGTGAGCCATTGCGCCTGGCCATTTACTTTTCTTTTTTGAGGCAGAGTCTCACTCCATCACCCAGGCTGGAATGCAGTGTTATGATCGTGGCTCATTGCAACCTCTGCCTCCTGGGTTCAAACAATTCTTGTGCCTCAACCTCGTGAGCAGCTGGAATTACAAGCGCTGGAATTCTGGTTTTGTTTCCTTTTTAATGCAAAAATGTAAAATTACCAAAGAATTTTGGACTGAATATTAGATGACATTAGTGAATCACTGTGTATTTCCTTAGATGGGATCATTGTACTTAGGAGAATATTCTTTTTTTTTTTTTGAGACGGAGTTTCGCTTGTTACCCAGGATGGAGTGCAATGAGGCCATCTCAGCTCACCACAACCTCCGCCTCCTGGGTTCAGGCAATTCTCCTGCCTCGGCCTCCTGAGTAGCTGGGATTACAGGCACGCGCCACCGTGCACAGCTAATTTTTTGTATTTTTAGTAGAGACGGGGTTTCACCATGTTGACCAGGATGGTCTCGATCTCTTGACCTCGTGATCTACCCGTCTCGGCCTCCCAAAGTGCTAGGATTACAGGCGTGAGCCAGAATGTTCTTTTATTTTTAAAAATATTTTTGAGACAGGGCCTCACTGTGTTGCCCAGGCTGGAGTGCAGTGGCACGATCTTGGCTTACTTCAACCTCCACCTCCTGGGTTCAAGTGATTTCCCACCTCTGCCGCCCAAGTAGATGGGATTATAAGTATGTGCCACCATGCCCAGCTAATAGAATAATGCTCCTATTTGTAGGAAATGCATGTTAAACCTTTGGGGGCTGAAGTGTGATATCTACTATATGTCAAATATGGGAAAATTATAACAAAATTCAAATCTAGGTATGTGGGTGATGGGTAGACATTCATTGTTCTGTTATTTCAAGTTCTCTTCAGTATTCTGTTATTTCAACTTCTCTGTGAAGTTTTTCATCTTTTTTATTTTTTATTTATTTATTTTTTTGAGATGGAGTCTTGCTCTGTGGCCAGGTTGGAGTGCGTGGTGCGATCTCAGCTCATTGTAACCTCTGCCTCCCAGGTTCAAGTGATTCTCCTGCCTCAGCCTTCTGAGTAGCTGGGACTACAGGCGCGTGCCACCATAGCCAGCTAATTTTTTTTTTTTAAGGTGGGGTTTCACCCTGATGGCCAGGCTGGTCTTGAACTTCTGACCTCAGGTGATCCATCTACCTTGGCCTCTGAAAGTGCTAGAATTATAGGCGTGAGCCACTATGCCTGGCCTAATTTTTGTATTTTTAGTAGAGACAGTGTTTCACCATGTTGGCCAGAATGGTCTCAATTTCTTGACTTCAGGGGATCCACCTGCCTTGGCCTCCCAAAGTGCTGGGATAACAGGCATGGGCCACCTCGCCCAGCTGATGTTTTTCGTAATAAAAAGTTAGGAGAGGTTAGGTGTGGTGGCTCACACCTGTAATCCCAGCACTTTGGAAGACTGAGGCGGGCAGATCACTGAGGTCAGGAGTTTGAGATCCCATCTGGTGAACTCCTAATGGCGTTCAGATGAAACCCCGTCTCTACTGAAAATACAAAAATTAGCCAGGAATGGTGGCAGGCACCTGTAATCCCAGCTACTCAGGAGGTTGAGGCAGGAGAATCACTTGAACCCGGGAGGCAGAGGTTGCAGTGGGCTGAGATCGAACCACTGCATTCCAGCCTGGGCAACAAAGAGAGACTCCACCTCAAAAAAAAAAAATTAGGAGAGAAATATTATTTTTTCAGGTCTCACTAGGTATCTAGAATACAGTCAGGAAGGGAAGAAGCGTTGGGAAACTGCAGTCTGTGGCAGCAGAAGGCACTGAGGGACTGGGGAATTTAGAAGGATGGTGTATGTGTGTATATAGGTGGGGGGGGGTTGCTACATAAAAGCCAGGGAAATGAAGAAATCCAAGGATGAAGTGCTGGCTGATACAAGCCAAGTCAGCATTTTATTACAAATAGTAATCAAAGAGAATTAATGGTGGCCACCAGATTCCCAGCTCTCTCATCTCAAGCTTCTTGTGTGACTACATGAAGCACCTCATCCTGCTGAAGAAGAACCTCATCTTGAACCACCTCATTCTAACAGTCTGAGAAGCACAGGAGTACATTGTGGTGCCACAGTAAACAGTGCCAAAGCCAGGTGCCCTGGTGCCACCTGCGATCCCAGCTACTGCTACTCAGGAGGCTGAGGCTGGAGGATTGATTGAGCCCAGGAGTTTGGGACCAGCCTGGGCATCTTAGCAAGACCCTGTATTTATTTATTTATTTGAGACAGAGTCTGGCTCAATCACCCAGACTGGAGTTCAGTTGTGGATCTCAGCTCACTGCAACCTCCACCTCCCAGGCTAAAGCGATCCTCCCACCTCAGCCTCCCAATGAGCTAGGACCACAGACTCCCACAACCATACCTGGCTAATTTTTAACAATTTCTGTAGAGATGGGGGGTCTTCTCACTATATTGCCCAGGCTGATGTCCAACTCCTGAACTTAAGTGATCCTCCTGCCTCGGCCTCCCAAAGTGGGATTATAGGGATGACCCACTGTACCTGGCCTGAGACCCTATTACACACACACACACACACACACACACACACACACACAGTGCCAACAACACACTGCTACCTGGGCTGAGACCCTGTTATACACACACACACACAAACACACACACACACACACGGAGTACCAGTGACACACTGCTGCACGGGCCTGTGAGGAATGGGACCACAGGGTGGCTGGATGTTCCAAGCTGCATGTTATGAGGTTGTAGAAATAACTGATACTAGTGCTCAGCCGGTAGCCCGTGCATCTTAGCCGGGCATCACAGGAGGCTTCTCCTGGTCCCCTGTGCTGTGGGTGTCCCTGTGGCCTGCAGTCCCCGGGCCGAGCCTTCATTTGCCCAGCTCAGGAGGGCCCTCCTGGACCGGGGAGCGACCCTGGTCGCAGTGAAGCCAGATGGATCTGGCGCAGTGGCAGTTTATCGGAGATGGGATCCACGCTTTGAGGGGCAGCTTCAAGCTGGTGGGGATGAAGACGCTGCAGGTGCACCACGTGTCCCTGCGTCCTTGCAAGACACCACGAGCGCCTGCCGAGGAAGCCTTGCTACCCAAGGCCTGCGAAGGGTCCAGTGTGGTCCCTCACCCGAAGTCTCAGGACCACGAGGTGGCTGTACTCCAGCCTGGGTCAACAAGAACCCAGGCCCACACCCATATTTGTCTCTCCCAAACCACTTCCCTGCTCACCTCTGCCCTGCTCCAGCCCAGAGGAGTCTGAGCCACCAACTTTACTACCTGTAATCTCAGCTACACGGGAGGCTGAGGCAGGAGCATCCCTTGAGTCCTGGAGTTCAAGACCAGCTTGGGCAATGAAGCAAGACTAGACTCCATCTCTAAAATAGGATTTTTTTTTTTTTGAGATGGAATTTTGCTCTTGTTACTACCCAGGCTGGAGTGCAATGGTGTGATCTCGGCTGACTGTAACCTCCTTTGCCCGAGTTTAAGTGATTCTCCTGCATCAGCCTCCCAAGTATGTGGGAGTACAGGTATGCACCACCATGCCCGGCTAATTTTGTATTTTTAGTACAGAGAGGGTATCTCCATCTTGGTCAGGCCGGTCTCGAACTCCTGACCTCAGGTGATCTGCCCTTCTCAGCCTCCCAGGTGCTGGGATTCCAGGTGTTAGCCATCACACCTGGCCTTTCTGTTTTTTTCCCCCACAGATGTGCACCACCACTCCTGGCTAATCCTAAAAAAAAATTTTTTTGTTTTTGTTTTTGTTTTTTTTTGAGACAGAGTTTCGCTGTTGTTACCCAGACTGGCGTGCAATGGCGCGATCTCAGCTCACCACAACCTCTGCCTCCTGGGTCAATTCTCCTGCCTCAGCCTCCCAAGTAGCTGGGACTACAGACGTGCACAACCATGCCCAGCTGATTTTTGTATTTTTAGTAGAGACGGGGTTTCACCATGTTGACCAGGATGGTCTCGATCTCTTGACCTCGTGATCCATCTGTTTTGGCTTCCCAAAGTGCTGGGATTATAGGCGTGAGCCACCACGCCCAGCCTCCTGGCTAACTTTTGTATTTTTAGTAGAGATGGGGTTTCACCATGTTGACCAGGCTGGTCTTGAACTCCTCACCTCAGGTGATCCTCCCAAGAATTTCTTCATGTCAGCAACAGTATTTGTGCCAACACATGGAATAGAGAAGGGCTTTATCGCCAAGGAACTAGTAAGCCACAGGGAAAATGCACCCTTTCCCACCTCTTCTCAGGCAGTAAATCCTTAAATACCAAACCCGGCATCCAGACACTGAGCCGCAGTTCCCTGGTGGCAGCTGAACAACATGACAATGATTCCCTATTGCCTTTGCCTTGCTTTTATATTTTTGAAGCATTTTCACAGCCATTCCCTCTCTTGATCCTCACAAGAGTTTAATTAAGCAACTGTATCATATGCATGAGCAAAGGAAATTAGCAGCGGTGTGTGACTTGCCCAAGGATGTGTAGTGCCCAACCCCGGGGGTTTGAGTCTCACACCGTCACCCTCTGTCTCCCTCTATCATGGGCCAGGTCCGCCCAGGTGGGTCATAGAGAGCTGGGGGCCCCTGCCTTGGCTTGTTGACTAAGTGGGTGAAGCTGGGCACACATGCTGCCCAGTACCTGTACCCGAACACAGGAGGCCGCTCTATTGGTGGCAGACTCAGGAAGTTGGTCTTTCTGGTAGAAGTTGTCCTGGTGGAGACAGTTGATTGACTGAGGAAGGACCCGTGGATGCGGCTGCGGTACTTCTCAGAACTTCAGTGCAAATTCTTTTTTTTTTTGAGATAGAGTCTTGCTCTATTACCCAGGCTTGAGTGCAGTAGCTTGATCTTGGCTCACTGAAACCTCTCCTTCCTGGGTTCAGGCAATTCTCCTGCCTCAGCCTCCCGAGTATTTGGGATTAGAGGTGCACGCCTGGCTACTTTTTTTTCTATTTTGGTAGAGGCAGGGTTTCACTGTGTTGCCCAGGCTGGTCTTGAACTCCTGACCTTAGGTAACCCCACGTAATGCAAATTCTTTTTTTTTTTTTTGAGATGGAGTCTCCCTTTATTGCCCAGGCTGTAGTGCAGTGGCACAATGTCGGCTCACTGCAACCTCCTCCTCCCGGGTTCAAACAATTCTCCTGCCTCAGCCTCTGGAGTAGCTGGGATTACAGTTGTATGCCACTACACTCAGCTAATTTTTTGTATTTTTAGTAGAGACAGGGTTTCACCATGTTAGCCAGGCTGGTCTCAAACTCCTGACCTCAGGTGATCCACCCGCTTCTGCTTCCCATAGTGCTGGGATTACAGGTGTGAGCCATCGTGCCTGGCCTAATGAAAATTCCTAACTGGACCACGGAAGCCAGGATTTGGCAGCTGGTCTCAGAGCTTGTCCTTTGTGAACAAAGTGAGGAGAGGAGTGTTCTGTGAGGAAGGGCAGATGCTCCAGCAAAAATGAGGTACTCACATGACTCCTTTGGGCTGTGGCTTATTTAGGGGAGCTACTCAGGCAGCTCGTGTCTTTGTGTGGCGCTCTCTCCTCCCAAAGCCAGCCCTAGAGCCCTTCCTTCACCTGGCGCCAAGCAGCCATCTTCATTCCCTCAACACCTGTCTGGGAGGCCTGGAGTGGTGGATGCCTGTGCGTAGAAAAACAATCTCCCAGTGGGGATGTCTCACACTAGGACAACGGGTACCCCAGTGGTGGTCTCAGGGGTTCCCAGAAGGCCACCTTCTCCCCAGATGCCTTTCTTTTCCTGTGATCCTGTGAGCTGATGTCTTGGCTACTGTCCCAACCTTACAACTTTATCTGTAAGTTTGTGTCTTGATTCCCATGAAAATACAGATGTCTCAGGGAAGACTAGTATCCCAGGCTGCCATTGGTCTCTGACCTCAGATCTCACTGTGAATGGAGGAGAAGGGGACAGAGGGGGAGGTTTGCTTTCAGGGGAGGCTGCGTGGCTGCTGCTCAGAATGGAGAGGGCTAGCCCCCATGGGAGCTCAGCAGGCCGTTCACCTTCAATGGTGCTCACCCTGAGCCTGCATCCTGGACTGGGACACACACTGAACAGATGGATGGATCCATGCCTCAAGAATAGACTAATCAATAAGGAAGGATGCAAGTTTCTAAAAGGGACCTTAAGTGAGAAAAATTGAGTGCTTTCTGAGGTGAAGGAGGGCTGGGAGAAGACTCGTGTGCCATAGGTCTCCTAGCTTTGCCTTTCTTCTCTGTGGTTGGCTTAGTTTATGGATGTGTTCTGAAGGTCAGAATTTAAGTTCTGGCTCCAACCTAAGGACTCCTGGGGGACCAAGAAATGTAAAAGGGAGCAGGAGAATAACTTAAGGCCAAGGAGAAGACCAGCCCAGGGAAGGAGCCCTAAAGACTGCCTTCCTCTCGCTGAAAGGCAGATGGGCTGTGATTGGGTCCCTGATGCCCAGGAAGCTAAGAGTGGAGCAGGGGCTGGGTGCAAGGGCTTACCCAGCTCTTTGGGAGGCCGAGGTGGGTGGATCACCTCAGGTTGAGAGTTCAAGACCAGCATGAACAACATGGATAAACTCCGTCTCTACTAAAAATACAAAATTAGCCAGGTATGGTGGTGCATGCCTGTAATCCCTGCAACTTGGGAGGCTGAGGTAGAATTGCTTGAACCTGGGAGGCGGAGGTTGCAGTGAGCTGAGATCACACCATTGCACTCCAGCTTGGGGAACAAGAGTGAAACTCCATCTCAAAAAAAAAAAAAAAAGAGTGGGTCAGGGAAAGGGGAGACTGAAAGTGACTGCTACATGAGAGGACGCTGAGAAGTCCAAGGGTGTTAAGAGGAGCAGCAGGCTGGGCGCAGTGGCTCAAGCCTGTAATCCCAGCACTTTGGGAGGCCGAAGCAGGTGATCACCTGAGATCAGGAGGTCGAGACCAGGCTGACTAACATGGTGAAACCCTGTCTCTACTAAAAATACAAAAAGCAGCTGGGTTTAGTGGTGTATATTTGTAATCCCAGCTACTCAGGAGGCTGAGGCAGGAGAATTGCTTGAACCCAGGAGGCAGAGGTTGCAGGGAGCCAAGATTGCTTCATTGCACTCCAGCCTGGGCGACAGAGCAAGACTCCATCTCAAAAAAAAAAAAGAAGCAGCAGAATGTGGCTGGTACCTCTTTTCCCCTCCACTGGCATCACAAACCAAGGGGACCATTCACTTCCCACAGACCTCACACAACTTCTGGCCCTGAGAAGCAGCTCAGTAAATGGCAGCTGCAGTCATAAGTGGTGTTTGTTTTCTGGAAGCCCCAGGTGAGTGTCCACAGCTCTCCAGGACCCTAGAGGGGCTCCCTAGCCTGCTCCTGCTGCTTGCCCTGATGTCCCCTAACACTGTCCTGGAGACGAGGGTGCCTGGTGCCTTCCAGCCTCCTATGATGTGTTCAGTTCTGAAAACTGGGGTCACTCCATCCCAGAAGGCACCAGCTGCTCTCTGGCCACATCTTACAGAAGGGACGGTACAACTCTGGCTTGATATTCATGTATCAACCTATTTAATTTCAATTCAAAAATGACTTCTGATCTGGCAGATGATGTGGAGTTCTAGAAAGAAACTGGGCCAGGCATGGTGGCTCATGCCTGTAATCCCAAGCAGTTTGGGAAGCCAAGGCAGGCAGAGTACTTGAGCTTAGGAGTTCAAGATCAGCCTGAGCAACATGGTGAAACCTTGTCTCTACACAACATACAAAACTAGCCAGGTGTGGTGGCGTGTGCGTGTAGTCCCAGCCACTTGGGAGACTGAGGTGGGAGAATCTCTTGAACCCACCTCAGGAGGCGAAAGTTGCAGTGAGCCAAGATCTGACACTAATACTCCAGCCTGGGTGACAGAGTATGACCCTGTCTCAAAAAAAAAAAGAAAGAAAAATTGCAGGTGTCTGCCCTATCCCAGGAAGGTGGGCAAGTCAGCCCTGCTATAATAGAGGGAATTCCATTTTCATCTGCATCAGACAGTTCCTGACCATTTGGCAAGATGGTACTTCTGGTATTTCTGCTAAAAGGCTTCGCTCCCCAGAGTGAAGACCTGAGCTGTGTATATCAGGGGCAAAATGACAGCAGCATTCTGGTTTCTCATTGCGGGCTTTTGTTCCATTCTTCCTGCCTGAGCTGTTTCAAGCTATTCCAGAATGTTCCGAACAGCCTCTTCCCTCTCTTGCTGTTTCTCCTCCCTCCTCTCCTGCACTACCCTCTTCTTTGAGCAAGAAACAAAATTCAGTAGAAAGCAGCGGAAGCGTTGGGGAGACAGAAAATTGAAAGGGGAGAAGAATACACTTCGTTCTGAAGTCCTGGTTTCTCCGGGAGTCAAGAGTCGACGAAAACAATGGTGTTGCTTTTCCTGAGAGTCAGCAGCTACGACCTGTGGTCTGAGTCAAGGCAGAAGTGCGGCCCACCCAGACGAGGAGGATTAGGGGTGAGCGGCCAGTTCACGCTGGGGTCTGAAGTGCCACTGGGGCAATACGAGGGTATCCTGGCTACCTTTGGTTTCAGAGGCTGCCTCTTTGGTGGGTGTGGCTGGCTTTGCAAACATCTTAGCAAGTGCAGTGGGTCTTTTCACTTGGACTCTGGGCCATAACAACTGGGCTGGAGTCCAGTGGGAGGCCGTTCAGGGCACTTTCCCCATAGAGGTGCAGGCTGTTGCGGGCGATCAGCTCCTTGGCCATAAGCACAAAGACTTCGTCTATGTTCTTGGACTCCTTGGCAGATGTCTCCAAAACAGCCAGGAGGCCGTACTTCTCAGCCAGTGTGCAGGCATCCTCGAACAGGACGTGCCGCTTTTCCCAGAGGTCACATTTATTTCCTGGAAGGAAAAGATAAGCAGATATTTCATTGCATAACTTAATCTGGTTTCTTTCAAAATGAACTTTTTTTTTTTTGAGACAGAGTTTTGCTCTTGTTGCCCAGGCTGGAGTGCAATGGCGCAATCTTGGCTTACCGCAACCTCCACCTCCTGGGTTCAAGCAATTCTCCTGCCTCAGCCACCCAAGTAGCTGGGGTTACAGGCATGTGCCATCATGCCTGGCTAATTTTTTGCATTTTTAATAGAGGGTTTCACCATGTTGGTCAGGATGGTCTTGATCTCTTGACCTGGTGATCCACCTCGGCCTCCCAAAGTGTGGGATTGCAGGCGTGAGCCACAGTACCCGGCCCAAAATGAATTTTACCAATAACATTTTTGTTCCTTGATAGGCATGCCTGCATTCATTTGCAAATGGTAATTGCGGACAGTTTTTTTTACTTTTTTTTTTTTTTTTGAGACGGAGTTTTTTTCCTATTGTTCAGTCTGGAGTGCAGTGGTGCAACCTTAGCTCACTGCAACCTCCGCCTCCTGGGTTCAAGTGATTCTCCTGCCTCAGGCTCCTGAGTATCTGGAATTACAGGCACCTGCCGCCCATGCCTGGCTAGTTTTGTATTTTTAGTAGAGATGGGGTTTTGCCATGTTGGCCAGGCTGGTCTGGAACTCCTGACCTCAGGTGATCTGCCTGTCTTGGCCTCCCAAAGTCCTGGGATTACAGGTGTGAGCCACCATGCCCAGCGGTTAAGGGCATATTTGCTGAAATGAAACCACTGGTGAATGGGGACAGGGAAACCCCTACATTCTTTGGAGGGACTGTCATTCGTCTCCCCACAAGTATGACAAGGTACAGCCTGTGCCAGAGTGTTGCACTAAGACTTCTCTTTCCTTCCTTCAAATTTTGCTTCTCTCTTTTTTTTTTTTTTTAGACAGAATTTCGCTCACATAGCCCAGGCTGGAGTGCAGTGGTGCGATCTTGGATCACTGCCACTTCCACCTCCCAGGTTCAAGCGATTCTCCTACCTCAGCCTCCTGAGTAGCTGGGATTACAGGCAGCTGGCACTACGCTCAGCTGATTTTGTATTTTTAGTAGAGATAGGGTTTTGCCATGTCAGCCAGCCTGGTCTCGAACTCTTAACCTCAGGTGATCTACCTGCCTTGACCTCCCAAAGTGCCAGGATTATAGGTGTGAGCCACCTCGCTCAGCCCTTGCTCCTCTTTTTACTCTCCCCCCACCCCTAAACAGCAAAGTGGTGCATGCTGTGTAAGATGGGGCTTGGTTAGCTGAGTAGACCGTGATCAGGATTTGGTGCATAATGGAAGACTTTCTTTTTTTTTTTGAGACAGAGTCTTGCTCTGTCACCCGTTAGAGTATAGTGGTGCAATCTCGGCTCCCTGCCACCTCCGCCTCCCAGGTTCAAACAATTCTCGTGCCTTAGCCTCCCAAGTAGCTGGGATTACAGGCCTATGTCACCACGCCTGGCTAATTTTTGTATTTTTAGTAGAGACAGGGTTTCACCATGTTGGCTAGGCTGGTCTTGAACTCCTGGCCTCAAGTGATCTGCCAGTCTTGGCCTCCCAAAGTGCTGGGATTATAGGCATGAGCCACCACACCCGGCTTAAATAACTTTCTAAGAAAGCTATAATTTATATACTATAAAAGTTTGCCTTTGATTTCCCCGAGGCAGGAATCTAAAGATAAAATTACTTTTCCACAGGTTTTGTTCTACCACATATCAAGATTTCAAAACTGCAGTAATTAGCTGGGCGCAGTGGCTCAAGCCTGTAAACCCAGCACTTTGGGAGGCCGAGGCGGGTGGATCACGAGGTCAAGAGATCGAGACCATCCTGGTCAATATGGTGAAACCCCATCTCTACTAAAAATACAAAAAATTAGCTGGGCATGGTGGCGTGTGCCTATAATTCCACTCAGGAGGCTGAGGCAGGAGAATTGCCTGAACCCAGGAGGCAGAGGTTGTGGTGAGCCGAGATCGCGCCATTGCACTCCAGCCTGGGTAACAAGAGCAAAACTCTGTCAAAAAAAAAAAAAAAACTGCAGTAATTAAGACAAACCGGACTAGTGTTTTTCAACCTGGTTTTCATTATTTTCCCCATAGGAGCCTCTGTAGGTATTTTTTCTCCTTCTTTTCCCTTCTTCCATAAAACATGTTTAATTATAGATATATGGGAAGTCATTATATATATATGACACACACACAGAGACATATATACACATATACATATATAAACACATATATGTATGCGCACACACACACACACACAGACACACATATGTAGAGCGAGAGAGAGAGAGAGAGAGATCCACTGTACCCTTCACCCAGTTTCCCCCAATGGTAATATCTTGTATAACTATAGCACATCATCAACACCAGGAAATTGACACTTGTACAATCCACAGACTTTAATCAGATTTCTTGTCATGAGGCTGGGCTTGGTGGCTCACGCCTGTAATCTTTGCACTCTGGGAAGCCAAGGTGGGTGGATCACCTGAGGTCAAGAGTTGACCAGACTAGCCAACATGAAGAAACCCCATCTCTACTAAAAATACAGAATTAGCTGGGTGTGGTGGTGCATGCCTGTAGTCCCAGCTACTTAGGAGGCTGAGGCAGGATAATTGCTTGAACCCAGGAGACAGAGAGATTGCAGTGAGCCAAGACTGTGCCACTGTACTCCAGCCTGGGCAACAAGTGCAAAATTCCATCTCAAAAGAAAAAAAAGATTTCTTGTCATGAAATTAATAAATGTCCCAGGTACTTATTTGTGTGTATGTTTATAATTATACACAATTTGATCACATGCATAGATTCCTATAATCACCATCATAGTCTAAGCACTGAACACCTCCATACCCACAAAGCTCTCTTTCATGCTATTCTTTCTGACTCTCACCACCCCTCGTCCTCAGCCCCTGCTAACCAGGAATCTATTCTAGTTCCAGAATATTATGTAAATGAATTCATATATGTAAACTTTTGAGATTGGCTTTTTTCACTCAGCATAATTCCTCCAAGAATCCATCCAAGTTGTTGTATAAATCAGTAGTTTGTTTTCTGCATATCACTAGCAGTCTTTGTTGCTGAGTAGTATTCCATAGTATGCATGGACCAACGGTAGGCTGAGGCAGGAGAACTGCTTGAACCTGAGAGGTGGAGGTTGCAGTGAGCCAAGATCATGCCACTGCACTCCAGCCTGGGCAACAGAGTGAGACTCTGTCTCAAAACAACAACAACAACAACAACAACAACAACAACAAAACGAAAACAAACCAAGCTCACTTGTTCACTCTGCAGTAGAGATTGTCAAAAATAAAAATAAGGGACCAGGCACAGTGGCTCATGCCTGTAATCCCGGCACTTTGGGAGGACCAGGCAGGAAGATCACTTGAGCACAGAAGTTCAAGACCAGCCTGAGCAACATGGCAAAACCTCATCTTTACAAAAAATTTTAAAAAATGAGCTGGGTGTGGTGGCATCCAGCCTAAAGGCACTTTCTGAGGCCCCATCCATGACTTTCACTTTTAGGATTCATTTTCCACTGCCCTTAGAAACAGGCAGAGAGCTGAGCATCCTCAGAGGAGAGTAAACAAAAGTTAAAAACTTCAAAAATGCCATACCGATCAGCATAATGACCAAATTTGCAGCTCCATATTTCTCTATCTCGTGAATCCAGTGAGGGATGGACTCAAACGTGGACCACCGGGTGAGGTCATAGGCGATGATGGCCGCGTGGGCACTCCGGTAATAGCTTTGGGTGATGGTGCGGAAGCGCTCCTGGCCAGCTGTGTCCCACACCTGCATCTGGAGAAGGGCAGGAATGAGAGTCCAAATCAGGGGACCCCACAGGTAGTAGGAACTCCTTCACTTACATTATCTTAAAAACACAGTTTCCTGGCTCTCACTTCTAAATACTCAGACCCAGTAGATCTGGGGTGGGACCCAGGAATCTATTCTTTTTTTTTTTTTTTAGAGAGAGAATTTCACCATATTGGTCAGGCTGGTCTTGAACTCCGAATCTCAGGTGATCTGCCAGCCTTGGCCTCCCAAAGTGCTGGGATTATAGGCGTGAGCCACTGCGCCTGGCCCTTTTTTTTTTCTTTTTGAGTTGGAGTTTTGCTCTTATTGCCCAGCCTAAATTGCAATGGCAAGATCTCAGTTCACCACAACCCCCACCTCCTGGATTCAAGTGATTCTCCTGCCTCACCCTACCGAGTAGCTGGGATTACAGGCACAAGCCACCATGCTCAGCTAATTTTGTATTTTTAGTAGAGGCGGGGTTTCTCCATGTTGGTCAGGCTGGTATTGAACTCCTGACCTCAGGTGATTCGCGTGCCTTGGCCTCCCAAAGTGCTGGGACTACAGATGTGAACCACCACACCCGGCCAAATCTATTCTTTCAGTTGCTCCCTGGGTGACTTGGCTATCCTCCTTGGTTTGGGAATGACCATCTAAGACAAACTTGTACAACCCGCAGCTTGTGTGTCACATTTGGCACATGACAGCCTTGAATGTGGCCCAACACAAATTCCTAAACTTCCTTAAAATATTATTAGATTTTTTCACAATTTTTTTTTTTGAGATTTTTTTCACAATTTTTTTTTGTAGTCCCAGAGTAGCTGGGACTACAGGCGCGTACCACCATGTCCAGCTAATTTTTTTTTTGAGACGGTGTTTCGCTTTTGTTACCCAGGCTGGAGTGCAATGGCACAATCTCGGCTCACCGCAACCTCCGCCTCCTGGGTTCAGACAATTCTCCTGCCTCAGCCTCCTGAGTAGCTGGGATTACAGGCATGTGCCACCATGCCGAGCTAATTTTTTTTTTTTTAGTAGAGACTGGGTTTCACCTTGTTGACCAGGATGGTCTCGATCTCTTGACCTCGTGATCCACCTGCCTCGGCCTCCCGAAGTGCTGGGATTATAGGCGTGAGTCACTGCGCCCGGCCTTCACAAAATTTTTTTTTTTTTTTTAGCTCATCAGCTATCATCAGTGTTAGCATAATTTATGTGTGGCCCAAGATAATTCTTCCAACGTGGCCCAGGGAAACCAGAAGCTTGGACAGCCCTGACCTAAGGCATGCTGCTATCAGAGAGGTGGACCTATTTTATCCTGGGGTCTCGTGTTCTTTGCCTTTTCACCTCATTCATCCTTTGGTCCAGATTTGGGGGCTCATCTTTTGAGTCTGCCCATGGATCTGAATACTGGCAAAGATGATAATATTGGCTAAACTGTTTTTTTTTTTTTTTTTTTTTTTTTTTTGAGACAGAGTCTCACCCTATCGCCCAGGCTGGAGTGCATTGGTGAGATCTCAGCTCACTGCAACCTCTGCCTCCCCATTTCAATTCTCCTGCCTCAGACTCCCAAGTAGCTGGGATTACAGGCATGCGTCCCCATGTCCAGCTAATTTTTTATATCTTTAGTAGAGAGGGGGTTTCACCATGTTGGCCAGGCTGGTCTTGAACTCCTGACCTCATGTGATTCACCGGCCTTGGCCTTCCAAAGTGCTGGGATTACAGGCGTGAGCCACTGCCCCGGCCTAAGCTGTTTTGATTTTAAAGGAACACTCAAGTTGCTCATGTTTGGAATGTCCTCACAATAATACCTCCCAAATTGCCACCCAAGCAGCAGCACCAATTCACGCAGCCCCTCACAGTTCCTGAGGGTAACTGTTTCTTCATATTCTCATACTATTTACATAACATTTATTTTATTTTTGAGTCGGAGTTTTGCTCTTGTTACCCAGGCTGGAGTGCAATGGTGCGATCTCGGCTCACTGCAACCTCCGCCTCCTGGGTTCAGGCAATTCTCCTGCCTCAGCCTCCTGAGTAGCTGGGATTACAGGCACGCGCCACCGTGCCCAGTTAATTTTTTGTATTTTTAGTAGAGACACGGTTTCACCATGTTGACCAGGATGGTCTCGATCTCTTGACCTCGTGATCCACCCGTCTCGGCCTCCCAAAGTGCCGGGATTACAGGCGTGAGCCACCGCGCCCGGCCCATAACATTTATTTTTTAGAGAAGGTTTGCAAACATACACCAAAAATAGAGATAACATAAAATTGAGGCTGGTTGCAGTGGCTCAATGATCCCAGCACTTTGGGAGGCTGAGACGGCAGATTGCTTAAGCTCAGAGGTTTGAGACCAGCCTGGGCAACAAGGTGAAACTCCATTTCTATAAAAAATACAAAAATTAGCTGGGCATGGTGGCGCATGCCTATGTCCCAGCTACTTGGGAGGCTGAGGCAGGAGGATCTCTTGAGCCCAGGTGGTCGAGGCTGTAGTGAGCTGAAATTGTGCACCACTGCCCTCCACCTTGGCAACAAAGTGAGACCCTGTCTCAAAAAAATTAAAAAAGAACCCTCATACATCTATCACCCAGATTCAATGACTAATGAGATTTTGCTACCTGCTTCATCTAGCCCTGTCTGTTATTTCTTTGAGGTATTTTTAAAATTTTTAAATTTTTATTTGTTATTTTATATTTTTGAGACAGAGCCTTGCTCTGCCTCCCAGGCTGAAGTGCAGTGACGTCATCTCAGCTCACTGCAACCTCTGCTTCCCAGGTTCAAGTGATTCTCATGCCTCAAGCCTCCCAAGCAGCGGGGATTACAGGCACATGCCACCACACCTGGCTAAGTTTTTGTATTTTTAGTAGAGACAGGGTTTCACCATGTTAGCCAGGCTTGTCTCAAACTCTTGACCTCAAGTGATCCACCTGCCTCAGCCTCCCAAGTGCTGGGATTACAGATGTGAGCCACCTCACCCGGCCACTAGAAAATTTGATCTTTTAAGGTCACACATGGTGGTGTATGCCTGTAATCCCAGCACTTTGGGAGGGTGAGGTGGAAGGAGCGTTTGAGCCCAGGAGTTTGAGATTGGCCTGAGCAACCCAGGGAAATCTTGTCTCTACAAAAAAATTTTAAAAATGGGCTGGGCGCGGTGGCTCACGCCAGTAATCCTAGCACTTTGGGAGGCTGAGGTAGGTGGATCACCTGAGGTCAGGAGTTCAAGACCAGCTTGGCCATCTTGGTGAAACCCCATCTTAAAAAATAAATTAAAAATTAATAAATAAAAATAAAAAATGAGTGGGGCATGGTGAGGTGCACCTGTGATCCCAGCTATTCAGGGCTGAGGTGAGAGGATTGCTTGAGCCGGGGAAGCAGAGGCTGGAATGAGCTATGATTGTGCCACTGCACTCCAGTCTGGGTGACAGAGCAAGACCCTGTCTCAGGCCAGGCACAGTGGCTCACACTTGTAATCCCAGCACTTTGGGAGGTAGAGGTGGGTGGATCACTTGAGGTCAGGAGTTCAAGATCAGTCTGGCCAACATAGCGAGACCCCCTCTCTACTAAAAATACAAAAATTAGTCCTTTCTTCTCCTCCTCCCTCCTCTTCCCCACCTTCCTCCACTCCCTCCCTTCCCCTCCCCTTAAAAAAAATTAGCCAGGCATGGTGGTGTGCACCTGTAAATCTAGCTACTTGGAATGCTGAGGCATGAGAATTGCTTGAGCCCAGGAGGCAGAAATTGCAATGAGCTAAAATTGTGCTATTGCACTCCAGCCTGGGTAATGGAGTGAGAGTCTGTCTCAAATAAAAAAAAAAAACAAAAACAGGCTGGGTGCTGGAGCTCCTGCCTGTAATCCCAGCACTTTGGGAGACCAAGGCAGATCATGAGGTCAGGAGAACGAGACCATCCTGGCTAAGACAGTGAAACCCTGTCTCTACTAAAAATACAAAAAATTTGCTGGGCATAGTGGTATGTGCCTGTAGTCCCAGCTACTCAGGAGGCTGAGGCAGGAGAATCGCTTGAACCTGGGAGGCAGAGGCTACAGATTGCACCACTGCTGAGATTGCACCACTGCACTCCAGCCTGCACGACAGAGCGAGACGCTGTCTCAACAACAACAACGACAACAACAAAAACCCAAAACAAAAACCCTGTCTTCCTTCCCGCCAAAAAAGCAAACTTGACCTTTATATAGTTACATAGAAAAGTATAAAGTTGACCTTTATAGTTAAATTCAGCAGTATTTTCCTTTATGGCTGCAGGGTTCATGTCTCATTTAATACTCCTATGTTTTTCCAAATCCTTATTTCTATGATTTCATGTTTTGTCCTGAAATCTTTTTTCTTGTTTTGGGATGGAGTTTCACTCTGTTGTGCAGGCTGGAGTGCAGTGGCGCCATATCTGCTCACTGCAACCTCTGCCTCCCGGGTTCAAGTGATTCTTCTGCCTCAGCCTCCCGAGTAGCTGGGAGTATAGGTGCACACCACCATGCCCGGCTAATTTTTGTTTTTGTTTTTGTTTTTTTTTTTTGAGACGGAGTTTCGCTCTTGTTACTCAGGCTGGAGTGCAATGGCGCGATCTCAGCTCACTGCAACCTCCGCCTCCTGGGTTCAGGCAATTCTCCTGCCTCAGCCTCCTGAGTAGCTAGGATTACAGGCACGTGCCACCATGCCCAGCTAATTTTTTGTATTTTTAGTAGACACGGGGTTTCACCATGTTGACCAGGATGGTCTTGATCTCTTGACCTCGTGATCTACCTGCCTCGGCCTCCCAAAGTGCTGGGATTACGGGCTTGAGCCACCGCTCCCGGCCTAATTTTTGTATTTTAGTAGAGATGGGGTTTCACTGTGTTGCCCAGGCTGTTCTTGAACTCCAAGCTCAGGCAATTCGCCCGCCTCAGCCTCCCAAATTGCTAGGATTACAGGTATGAGCCCCCATGCCCAGCCTGTACTGAAATCTTTTATTTCTCAGACATGTGCTTTGTGTTGGGAATTCTGGCTGAAAAAGGTGGAACCAGTCCTGTCCCAGCGCCTTCTCACCTTTACTTTCTTGCCATCGATATCAAGAGAGCGTACGGTGAAGTCCACTCCAATCGTGTTCTGCTGTGTCTCGGTGTAGACTCCAGACTTGAAATGCTGCACCACACATGTCTTCCCCACATTGGAATCCCCAATGAGGATAATCTTGAACAAATAGTCAAAGTTCTCATCTGCTGCCCAGGCTGAGCTGGAGAACTGCATGGCTCTTGCCACCTAGAACAGAGTTAGGAAGAAAGGATGGAATTCAGCACCAGGAACTGGGGATCCAGTAGATGACAAGACAGAGGGAGGTCATTACCTTCACAGCGCTACATCCTTGTGGAGGACAATGCTAATGATGTTAGCTAGTCAGGCACAGAGGAGTTGCCTGCATAAGCTGACATCTGCCCTACGTGTATTGATCTTACCTTAGGGGTCCCCTTAGAATAAAGAGGTTCTATTGCCATTCTCTGGTGGGTCTAGTGGATGGTCAACACCATCAGATAAATGCACTGATGTGGCCGGGTGTGGTGGCTCACGCCTGTAATCCCAACACTTTGGGAGGCTGAGGCAGTTGAATCACAAGGTCAGGAGATTGAGACCATCCTGGCCAACATGGTGAAACCCCATCTCTGCTAAAATACAAAAAGTTAGCTGGGCATCATGGTATGCAGATGTAGTCCCAGCTACTTGGGAGGCTGAGGCAAGAGAATTGCTTGAACTGGGAGATGGAGGTTGCAGTGAGCTGAGATTGAACCACTATACTACAGCCTGGTGACAGAGCAAGACTCAATCTCAAAAAAAAAAAAAAAGTACTGATGTATCCTAGACCTGGAGATGAGGCGCCACATGCTCTATCAGAGTGCCCGCAGAACAGGAGGATGGCAGAAAAAATTCCCATAGCAGTGACTCACCTGCTATTGGAGGTCCTACCAGTGTCAATTTCACCTGGGAAAAAAGACTCCCAACTGCTATAAGACTGACCATCCAGGCCGGGCACAGTGGCTCACACCTGTAATCCCAGCACTTTGGGAGGCTGAGGTGGGTGGATCACCTGAGGTCAGAAGTTTAGGACCAGCCTGACCAACATGGAGAAATTCTATCTCTACTAAAAACACAAAATTAGCCAGATGTGGTGGCGCATGCCTGTAATCCCAGCTACACGGGAGGCTGAGGCAGGAAAGTCACTTGAACCTGGGAGGAGGAGGTTGGCGGGGAGCCAAGATTGCACCACTACATTCCAGCCTGGGCAACAAGACTGAAACTCCGTCTCATAAAATAAAAAAACAAAAAAAGGTTTCTAATGACAGTGTTTCACAAACTAATTGATTATCAGAATTATCTGGGAGTATCATTGAAAAAATATATATATACTTTTTTTTTGAGCTGGAGTCTCGCTTCGCTCTGTCTCTAGGCTGGAGTGCAGTGGCATGATCTTGGCTCACTGCAACCTCCGTCTCCCGAGTTCTAGTGATTCTCCTACTTCAGCCTCCTGAGTAGCTGGGACTACAGGTGTGCACCACCACGTCTGGCTAATTTTTGTATTTTTTAGTAGAGACGGGGTTTCACCATATTGGCCTGCTGGTCTTGAACTCCTGACCTCCCAAAGGACTGGGATTACAGGCATGAACCATGGTGCCCAGCCTTAATTTTGTATTTTTAGTAGAGATGGGATTTCACCATGTTGGCCAGGATGGTCTCAATCTGTTGAACTCGTGATCCGCCCACCTAGGCCTCCAAAGTGCTAGGATTACAGGCATGAGCCACCATGCGTGGTCTCTTTTTATTTGAGATGGAATTTCACTCTTCTTGCCCAGGCTGGAGTGTAATGGTGCAGTTTCAGTTCACTGCAACCTCCACTTCTGGGGTTCAAATAATTCTCTTGCCTCAGTCTCCCAAGTAGCTAGGATTACAGGAGTCTGCCACCATGCCCGACTAATTTTAGTAGTTTTAGTAGAGATGGGGTTTCACCATGTTGGCCAGGCAGGTCTCAAACTCCTTACCTCAGGTAATCTGCCCACCTCGGCCTCCCAAAGTGCTGGGATTACAGGCATGAGCCACCGCGCCTGGCCAGAAAATGAAGGTTTCTAATGACAGTGTTTCACAAACCAACTGATTATCAGAATTATCTGGGAATATCATTGAAAAATATATATTTTTAGAGCTCATCCCAGACTTACTAAACATTTTATGTTGTTCTTTTAAAAATTATTTCTTAGTATTTTTTTCTTTTCTTTTCTTTTTGAGACAGAGTCTTGCTCTGTCACCCAGGCTGGAGTATAATGGTGCAATCTTGGCTCACTGCAAACTCTACTTTCTGTATTCAAGGGATTCTCCTGCCTTAGCCTCCCGAGTAGCTGGGATTACAGGTGCATGCCACCATGCCTGGCTAATTTTTTTGTTTGTTTGTTTGTTTGTTTGTTTTTGAGATGGAGTCTTGCTCTGTTGCCGAGGCTGGAGTGTAATGGTGTGATCTCGGCCCACTGCAACCTCTGGGTTCAAGTAATTCGTTGCCTCAGCCTCCCAAATAGCTGGGATTACAGGCACTTGCCACCACATCCAGCTAATTTTTGTATTTTTAGTAGAGATGGGGTTTCACCATGTTGGCTAGGCCAATCTTGAACTCCTGACCTCAAGTGATCCACCTGCCTCGGCCTCCCAAATTGCTGGGATTACAGGTGTGAGCCACTGTACCTGGCCTATTTCTTATTATTTTAATAGAGACAGGAAAGTCCTCGCTATGTTGCCCAGACCACTTCCAAACTCCTGGCATCAAGTGATCCTTCTGCCTCAGCCTCCCAAACTGCTGGGATTATAGGCATGAGCGACTGTGTCTGGTGTACTAAACATATTTTAAAGTTAAAAACACAAAACCAAAACCTCTCTCTCTTTCCTCTCTTGCACTGTCTCTTCCCCAGGTGATTCTGATGATGAGCCAGATTTGGAAAACAGCAATCGACCAAGTCACCTACCTGAAACTTGACTCCCACCATCAGCATCCCTGGCTTAAATATCCACCTTTGCTTAATTATCTTTGATCACAAGGAACTGACTATGTCCTGAAAATTTTCCATTTTGCACTGGGCAGCTCTCACTTCTGTGGGATTGACACCTCCCTCCGTGAGGTTTCCATCTGTCTAGCTCAGTGCTGTCCTGACTCTGCCAAAACACATCACATTCCTGTTCCTCATGGCAGTCCATCAGATACTTGAAGCAGCAAAAATAACCCCGAAGAGAATATCCCCCGCCTGGTTTTTTTTGTGGGGAGGGACGGAGTCTTGCTCTGTCGCCAGGCTGGATTGCAGTGGCATAATCTCAGTTTACTGCAATCTCTGCCTCCTGGGTTCAAGCAATTCCCCCTGCCTTAGCCTCCCGAGTAGCTGGGACTACAAGCATGTGCTACCACACCGGGCTAATTTTTTTATTTTAGTAGAGATGGGGTTTCATCATGTTGGCCAAGATGGTCTTGATCTCCTGACCTCATGATCTGCCCTCCTCGGCCTCCCAAAGTGCTGGGATTACAGGCATAAGCCACCACACCTGGCCTCCCCACCTCTTTAAAAAAAATTTTTTTTTTTTAGGCCGGGTGCGGTGGCTCACGCCTATAATCCCAGCACTTTGGGAGGCAGAGACGGGTGGATCACGAGGTCAAGAGATCGAGACCATCCTGGTCAACAAGGTGAAACCCCGTCTCTACTAAAAATACAAAAATTAGCTGGGCATGGTGGCACGTGCCTGTAATCCCAGCTACTCGGGAGGCTGAGGCAGGAGAATTGCCTGAATCCAGGAGGCGGAGGTTGGGGTGAGCCGAGATGGTGACAGGTGACATTGCACTCCAGCCTGAGTAAGAAGAGCGAAACTCCGTCTCAAAAAAATAAAATAAAGAAAATAAAAAAAGTTTAAAAAATTTTTTTATTTTCTTTATTTTCTGCCCCCGCCTCTTGAACTGTTTTTCAAGAGGGTGTGATGTCTCCTCATCCAATAGCTCTAAAATAGCTGAAACCTGATCCCATTTAATGATTACATTTAATGTGCTGCAAATTGCTCCAGCCTTGTGGCATCCTTCTCCACCTCCCCGTCTTACTCTGGTTTTCCCTCAAGTCATAGAAAAGGGCCGTCTGTCTCATCACACAAGGTAAAACGCACTCAAATGTCCAATCTGCATACAAAAACCCAGGGTCTTAAGACAACAAAGAAGGATCCCATACCTTTCTTGGACCTCTCTGAAATCACATAGGGGTAGATATATAATCCAGCAGACAACAGACACAATGAAACCACTTTTTTCCCTCTCTGACTTTTCAACTAAAGACAGCCATTCCACTTCCGGTGTCTTGGTCTTATCACAGTAACTTGAGCTGAGACTTTATTTCCACATCTCCCCTCGCCCTCTGGAGTCCTCAGGGTTTCCACGAAAGCCCCCTTTAATTTAGTCAAAAGCCTTGCAAGGACACACAGGCAGCGTCCACCCCGAGGATGCCCTCCCTCTGAAATCCCGCAGCCTTCTCCTTCCTGGTTCACCTGTCGCTTATCTGTCTCGCTCCCTCACCTCTGGCGGTCAGCAGGTAATGTTTCCTCTTTCTTCTGGTTTTCCTTTTCGGCCCTCAGTGCCCCCTTCTTCCTCCTGCCTCGCTGCTTGGTGGGAAGTGTAGTTCTGGCCCCAGGTGTCAGGTTTGGTGGCCTGAGAAAGTGAAAGGAGAGTGCAATCCCTCCCACCTGCCCTGAGCCCCGGACTGCTGCAAGGTACAAAGCGCCAGGTGAGTGCTGGCCAGCACGGGGCAGGGCGCAGAGCTGGCTTTCTCCCCACCCTTCGCATGCCTAGCGGAAAGCCCTCAAGGGAAGGAACAGCCGGTGACCTCAGCCAGCGCTGACCCATGCAACACTGCCCCTGCTCCTTCCTTCTACTCTCTCTTGTGTGTTCTTGCGTCCTTTGCTCTCAATGTGTCCTGGTGTCCCTTGACAGGAAAAAATTTCAGAGTGTAGCTCATATAATAACAGTGATTATTGTTTTGCAAAATGTTTGGGTCAGTTATACATGTGGATATTGTATTGGATGATATAAAAAAAGTATTTATTTATTTTGGAACAGGGTCTTACTCTGTCACCCAGGCTGAAGTGCAGTGGCACCATCATGGCTCACTGTAGCCTCGACCTCCTGGTTTCAAGCAATCCTCCTGCCTCAGCCTCCTGAGAATCTGGGACCACAGCTGGCCTGGGAGTTGTTAGTTGAGAGAACATCTAACATCTAACAACTAAAGGAGGATACAGATCTTAAGTAATTTATTTTATTATATATACATATTTTCCCCCTTTCCTCCCTTCCTTCCTTCCTCCCTCCCTTCCTCCTTCCCTCCCTTCCTGCCTTCCTCCCTTCCTCCCCCAAAAAAGAATATATGTATATGTATATATACATATACATATTTTTTAGAGACACAGTCTTACTCTGTGGCCCAGGCTGGAGTGCAGTGGTGTGATCATGGTTCACGGCAGCCACAGCTCCCAGGCTCAAGCAAGCCCCCACTTCAGCCTCCCAAGTAGGTGGGACTATAGGCACACACCACCATGCCCTGCTTATTATTTATTTCTTTTAGACATGGGGTCTCCCTATGTTTTGCATGGTGGTATGAAACTCCTGGGATTGGCTGTGCGCAGTGGCTCATGCCTTTAATACCAGCACTTTGGAGGCTGAGGCGGGCAGATCACCTGAGGTCAGGAGTTCAAGATCAGCCTAGCCAACATGGCAAACCCCATCTCTACTAAAAATGCAAAAATTAGCCAGCTGTGGTGGCACGCCTACAATCCCAGCTACTTGTGCGGGAGAATTGCTTGAGCCTGGGAAGTGGAGGCTGCAGTGAGCCAAGGTTGTACCACTGCACTCCAGCCTGGGTGACAGAGTGAGACTCCTTCTCAAAAAAAAAAAAAAAAAAAAGAAACTCCTGGGTTCAAGTGATCTTCCTGCCTTGGCCTCCCAAAGTGCTGGGATTGCAAGGCATGAACCCCTGTGCCTGGCCAGATCGTATGTAATTTTTTTTTTTTTTTTTGAGACGGAGTTTTGCTCTTGTTACCCAGGCTGGAGTGCAATGGCGCAATCTCGGCTCACCCCAACGTCCGTCTCCTGGGTTCAGGCAATTCTCCTGCCTCAGCCTCCCGAGGAGCTGGGATTACAGGCACGCACCACCATGCCCAGCTAATTTTTGTATTTTTAGTAGAGACGGGGTTTCACCTTGTTGACCAGGATGGTCTCAATCTCTTGACCTCGTGATCCACCCGCCTCAGCCTCCCAAAGTGCTGGGATTATAGGCGTGAGCCACCGTGCCTGGCGATCGTATGTAATTTAAGTCTTTGGTAATTTAATTGTTTCCTGGATCAGAATATCTTTTTGTGAGGAGACAGAGAAAGGAGATGATGCAATGAGAAGGAAACAAAAACAAAACTAAAGGAACTTTGAACGTGTTTGGGAAGAAAGAGCTGAAGAAAATGTCTGCCTCACCCCCTCAAAAATTCTACCATACAGCAAACGTTAACTTCCAGAAAACCTCAAGTTTATCCGTCCCAGATGCTGGCAGTAGAATCATAAAGCCTAGGCAAATTTTCCTTACTATTTTTTCTTTTTCTTTTTCTTATTTTTAGAGACGGGGTCTCCTATGTTGCCAAGGCTGGAGTGCAGTGGCTATTCACAGGCACGATCCCACTACTGATCAGCACTGGAGTTTTGACCTGCTCCGTTTCTGACCTAGGCTGGTTCACCCCTCCTTAGGCAAACTGGTGGTCCCCTGCTCCCAGGAGGTCACCATATTTTTTTTTTGAGAAGGAGTTTCACTCTTGTTACCCAGGCTGGAGTGCAATGGTGTGATCTCGGCTCACCGCAACATCTGCCTCCTGGGTTCAGGCAATTCTCCTGCCTCAGCCTCCTGAGTAGCTGAGACTACAGGCACGCGCCACCATGCCCAGCTAATTTTTTGTATTTTTAGTTGAGACGGGGTTTCACCATGTTGACCAGGATGGTCTCGATCTGTTGACCTCGTGATCCACCCGCCTCGGCCTCCCAAAGTGCTAGATTACAGGCTTGAGCCACCACGCCCGGCAGGAGGTCACCATATTGATGCCAAACGTAGTGCAGACATCCGATCGGCATAGCGCACTACAGCCCAGAACTCCTGGGCTCAAGCGATCCTCCCACCTCAGCCTCCCCAGTAGCTGGACTACAGGTACGTGCCACCACGCCCGGCTTCCTTACTATTTTTCTCCCCAGAGTCTAGAACAGTAACTGCCTCTCAATGTCTATCACAGTGACTAGATTTTGTCCACTACATAGGATGTGATATGTAGGCAGTCAAACAGCATTAGAGACCTAATAAGCAAAATTGAAATGGAAACATTCTGTTTGATAAAATATTTACATTGGTGTCCCATTTCCAGACTGTGGGCTGAGACCTATAAATGAGTCATGAAGTCAGTTTTAGGGGATTGCAACCAGCATTTTCACAAGAAGGGATTCGGAAACAATTTCAGAATGTATCCCATGAGGTAACAGTGACCACTGTTTTGTAAAATGTTTGGGTCAGTTGTACATGTGCATATTATACTGGGAGATTAAAAAACAATGTTTTTTTTTGAGATAGGATCTCACTCTGTCACCTAGGCTGAAGTGCAGTGGCACCATCATGGCTCACGGCAGCCTCAACCTCCTGGGCTCAAGCAATCTTCCTGCCTCAGCCTCCTGAGTATCTGGGACTACAGATGTGCACCATCATGTCCAGCTATTTTTTTTTTTTTTTTTTTTTGAGATGGAGTCTCGCTCTGTGGCCCAGGCTGAAGTGCAGTGCTGCAATCTTGGCTCACTGCAACCTCTGCCTCCTGGATTCAAGTGATTCTCTTGCCTCAGCCTCCCAAGTAGCTGGAATTACAAGTGTGCACCACCACGCCCGGCTAATTTTTGTATTTTTAGTAGAGACAGGGTTTCACCATGTTGGTCAGGTTGGTCTCAAATTCTTTTTTTTTTTGAAACGGCGTTTCACCATGTTGGTCAGACTGGTCTTGAACTCCTGACCTCAGGTAATCCATCCGCCTCGGTCTCCTGGTCTCAAATTCTTGACCTCATGATCCACCTGCCTTGTTCTCCCAAAGTGCTGGGATTACAGGTGTGAACTGGGCCTGGCTATTTTTTTCACTTTTTTGTAGAGCCAGGGCCTCACTCGGACTGGTCTCAAATTCCTGGGCTCAAGCAGTCCTCTCATATCAGCTTCCCAAAGTGCTGGAATAACAGGCGTGGGCCACTGTGCCAGGCCTGAAATGTATTTTTTACTGTAGGCTGGGGTCCAAAATGTTTGGGAAGCACTGAAATACAGGGCAATTTATTCACTGCCCACGAACATTACTTCTATGATGTCTTCAGGTAACCTGGAAAAATCTGTCTTACCCAAAACTCCAGTTACCTCTCCATATTCAGGATACTCTCTTCTGAGTGAGATAAACTCAACACTGGCAGGTGCAGCAAGAAAACAACAGATCCTGCCAAACATGACTGCAGGCTGAGAGCCACCGGCACATGTCTGCAATGTGGAAATCCAGTGCAGGTCAAGATTCACTCCAAATGTGTGACTAGGGCCAGGAAATAAAACCTGTTAGGTGTCAATGTCATAAAGTTAAGGGTCCAAATGTTGTGTTTCTTCTGGTAAAGGTTACTTTTTTTTTTTTTTTTGAGATGGAGTTTTGCTCTCGTTGCCTAGGACAGAGTGCAATGGTGCAATCTGGGCTCACTGCAACCTCCACCTCCTGGGTTCAAGGGATTCTCCTGTCTCAGCCTCCCACGTAGCTGGGATTACAGGCACCCACCACCATGCCTGGCTAATTTTTGTATCTTTAGTAGAGATGGGGTTTCACCATGTTGGCCAGGCTGGTCTCGAACTCCTTACCTCAGGTGATCCACCTGCCTTGGCTTCTCAAAGTGCTGGGATTACAGGCCTGAGTCCCTGCCTGGTTACTGTTTTTCAAAAAGTCACCTGATGCAGACCCACTGAGCACTTGGAGAACATCTACAGGTAGAAAACAAATATTACAAAAATTTTTTTTCTTTCTTTTCTTTTCCTTTTTTTTTTTCACCTGAACATAGCAGTGAAACAAATATTTAAATATCCTGATGGTTTCGGAAGTCAAGGAGAGAGAGAGATCCTGCCTCTGTCTACCACCTGACCCTCTCCACCAAGGTCACTATGAATACAAAGAGCATAGCTTGGGCTACCAGGAAAGAAGGCATTCATATGTATACGTGTGTATATATGTAAGGCGGGTTGCCTCGCCGGGAGGTTGGACACACCCACCTCTGCACCCAGCACCAGCCTCTGCACTTGGCACCTAGCTCTGCCACATGGCTCCCCTGGAAGGCTCCAGCGGATGCAAGGCTCCTGGCCGGCTCTCCTACCGGAAAACCCGCCCAACAACCCGCCAACCAATAGCGACCTGCTCCATCTTAATCCCGCTCCCCTGGAGTTAATCAGAGCACCCAGCTGTTGCTCGTTCAGTCTAGCCATAAAAACCCCACGCCCCAGGAAGTTGGCGCGACTTCCTTGGCCCCTTTCCCCAGGACCATGGAAACTCGCCCGGGAGCTGAATAAATTGGATTTTCATTTTCTTATACTGGCTTCAGTTTCCTCATTTTAAACTCGGCAATAAACCTTACAATATAGATACTTTTTTTTTCGTTTTTAAGAGACTGGGTCTCCCTCTGTCACCCAGGCTGGAGTGCAGTGACACGATCATAGCTCACTGCAGCCTCCAAAGGTGGGGTTGAAGTAATCCTCCTGCCTCAACTGCCCTAGTAGCTGGGATTACAGGTATACACCATCACGTGGCTAAGAAGGCATTATAGCCCTGAGTGGTGGTGACACACGTTATATACTTGATAGTATACACACACATATGTACACACCCCTATGTATATATAACACAAAATATATATTTTACCATTTTAACCATTTTTAAGTGTACAATTCAATAGCATTAAATCCATTGTTGTGCAGCCAACATCACCATCCATCTCCAGGACTTTTTTATCATCCCAAATGGAAACTTCATAGTTATTAAACAACAATTTCTCCATTCCTCTTCCCTCCAGCCACGGGCAACCACCATGCCACTTTCTGATTCTATGAATTTTAATTTGACTATTCTGGCTGCCCCATGTAAGTGGAATTGTACTGTACTAGTCCTTTTATGTCTGACTTATTTTATTTTATTTTTGAGACAGAATTTCACTCTTGTTGCCCAGGCTGGAGTGCAATGGCGTCATCTTGGTTCACCCCAAACTCTGCCTTCCAGGTTCAAGTGATTCTCCTGCCTTAGCCTCCAGAGTAGCTGGGATTGCAGACATGTGCCACCATGCCTGGCTAATTTTGTATTTTTAGTACAGACAGGGTTTCTCCATGTTGGTCAGGGTGGTCTCGAACTCCCAGCCTCAGGTGATCTGCCTGCCTGGTCCCCCCAAAGTGCTGGGATTACAGGTGTGAGCCACCACACCTGGCTGTCTGACTTATTTCACTTAGCATAATGTTTTTTAAGGTTCCTTTATGTTGTAGCGTGTGTCAGAATTTGCTTCCTTTTTCAGGCTGAAAAATAAATGATTCACAATATATGTTTAAAAATAAAAGTAACATATTTGGCTCATTTATTTTGCTCACCCTGACATCATATTTCCCCTTCGATGCCTACAGACAAAACGACTGCCCTGTAAGGGCTAGAAACAAAACTACCATTGTATAAGGGCGAATAAAAATGAAAAATAACAGGCTTCATTCCTCTGCTGAAAATGAAGGAAGAGACTTCTCAGCCTTCTCACTTTCAAAATTTCTTTCTCTGTCCTTTTCAAATGCATACAAATCTTTATAATGGTGAAATAAGCTTCTTGCCAGTATCACAACTCAGAAGTGTGTCCTCAAGGTCTTGGGGGTCATCTTTTTGAAATGCAGACACGGAGTTCCTTTATCTCCCAGTTCCTACAGTAGGCTAAGAGGACTGACTTCCTGGGCGTGGGCGCCTTGCTCCAATTTGCAAAACTACCGCCTGCTGTGAAGATATGTGAAGTTTAACAGGAAAAAGATATGCGAAGTTTGTTTGGCTTCTGGATAAAGACAGCGTGATGGAACTGTTTGACAAAAGCTGTTGTCAAGTTCTGTTATTTGAAAAGTAGTGGTTGTTTATCTTGAGAACAGGTATGTAATGGTTGCTGTGGAGATTTTCTGGGTTAAGAGCAGTTTTCTTTCAAATTCAAACAAGTGTCTGTATTTTATTTATTTATTTATTTATGAGGTGGAGTCTTGCTCTGTTCCCAGGCTGGAGTGCAGTGGCACGATCTCAGCTCACTGCAACTTCCACCTCCTGGTTTCAAGCAATTCCCCTGCCTCAGCTTCCCAAGTAGCTGTGACTACAGGCGTGGGCCATCACACCCAGATAGTTTTTTGTATTTTTAGTAGAGGCAGGGTTTCACCATGAGGGCCAGGACGGTCTCAATCTCCTGACTTGGTGATCCACCCGCCCCGGCCTCCCAAAGTGCTGGGATTACAGGCATGAGCCACCCGCGCCCGGCTATTTATTTTTTAAAGAAACAACAGCGGGGGAGGAGGGCGCTCAGTATCTTGCCCAGGCTGGTCTCAAACTCTTGGCCTCAAATGATGCTCCTTCCTCGGCCTCCCAAAGTGTTAGGATTGCAGGTGTGAGCCACTTGTGCCGGATTTTTTTTTGGAGGTAGGATCTTGTTCTGTTGCTCAGGCCGAAGTGCAATGGAGCGATCACAGCTGCCAGCCCCAAACTTTTGGGCTCAAGCGATCCTCGCGCCTTGGCTGCCCCAGTAGTGGAGACCGTAGGCACGTGCCACTACGCCTGGCTAATTTTAAATTTTTTTGTAGAGACGGGGTCTGGCTTTATTGCTCAGGCTGGTTCTGAACTATTGGGTTCAAGTGATCCTCCCTTCTCGACTTCCTAAAGTGTTAGATTACAGGCGTGAGCCCACTGTGGCCGGCCTGCATTTAATTAACTTAGACACCTAAAATTACGGCAGGTCAGTGGCACACTTAGTTGTGTGTTACCGTTTATAAAAACAAAGACCGAATACAGCTCTTTTGAGAAAAGTATGTACCACTTCTCCCCATATCATTCTCTCCGCCTCTGGTCTTTCGCAGCTAACGTTCCTGGCCGGGTCCTCAGCCACTGGCTGCCCTGGGGCCTCCTCTCTCCCGCAGGTGAGGCCGCGCCGCGGGACTACAACTCCCGGCGTGCCCCGAGACGGGAGGGTCACGTGGGCGCCCGGAAACCCTGGCCGCGGCGCCAGGGGTGAGCTGGCGGCGGGGGCGGCGGGCAGCGGAGCTCAGCGGACCAGGCGAGCGGACGGGGCTGGAGAGCGGCGACCACTGAGTGTCTCGGGTGCGCGAGCCGTGATGCGTGGGGCCGGAGCCCTGTTAAGGGCGGAGGCGGGTCCAATCCGAGGGGCTTCCCTGGTCGGGAGGGCGGTGCAGAGATGGAGGTGGCGGCCCCCCCCCCGTGGGTGGGGTGCCCGGGCAGGATCGGCCGCTCGCGCTGTCCATCCGCGCCCCGGGCCCGGGTCTGGGTTTCCGGCGGCCACGGGGGGATCGCGAGGGGGAGGATGGGGAGGAGAAGGACCCCCGGGGGACCCTGTGGCCGGGCCGGGACCCACGCGGCGGCTGCTTTTGTGCTCCTAGCCAGCCTGCTCTCCAGCTGTGGGTCTGGGAGATTCTGATTTTCCCAGAAAAGGGCTTGTCGTTCGGACCAGGAGAGGAGATGCTTTTCAGGTAGGTGGGGAGGCTTTTTGGGAAGGATGTATAGAGGTCAGAGAAGGAGAGTGGTCTCAGTGGAGTAACTGGCTTTGTTTTCTGGTAACTACCATGATCTCCGTCAAGGAATTTGGTCAAATTGTTCGTCATTCCCTCCTTATTCTTTGCAGAGTGTGTTCTGTTTATTCTCGGTTTTGACGGGCGATAATGGGAATGTGTCCCCGGAGTGTTTAGTGTTTTCTTGAAGTGTAAGATTGTAGGCTATCTCGTGGTAACTCTTACTGAAAGTTCATAGGGAGGAGTGGTTCCTGGATTGAGCAAAAGCATTCAATTGTTATCTTTTTGTCCACCACTTTATTTCTACCTTTACACAAGTTTATATACGCGTGTGTTTATAACTTATATAAAATAGTAGTTGTTGAAGGGAATGTCTTCAGTGCTTTGGTGCTTCAATGATTTTTCTTTTTTTTTTTGAGACGGAGTTTCGCTGTTGTTACCCAGACTGGAGTGCAATGGCACGATCTCGGCTCACTGCAACCTCCGCCTTCTGGGTTCAAGCAATTCTCCTGCCTCACCCTCCGAGTAGCTGGGATTACAGGCGCGCGCCACCATGCCCAGCTGATTTTTGTATTTTTAGTAGAGACGGGGTTTCACCTCGTTGACCAGAATGGTCTCCATCTCTTGACCTCGTGATCCACCCGCCTCGGCCTCCCAGGAAGTGCTGGGATTATAGGCGTGAGCCACCGGGCCCGGCCAGCTTCAGTGATTTTTCAATTTGTCGAATGTTTCTTGTATACCAAGCTCTATACTAAGAACTCCAAATAAATTATCTCATTTAATCAATACATGAGGAAATTGAGCTTCAGGTTGGGTGTGGTCTCTCGTGCCTGTAATCCCAACACTTTGGGAGGCCGAAGCAGGTGGATCACTTGAGGCCAGACGTTCAAGAACAGCCTGGCCAACATGGTGAAACCCCAACTCTACTAAAAAGAAAAAAAAAAGAATTAACCGGTTGTGGTGGTACACACCTGTAATCCCAGCTACTTGGGATGCTGAGGCAGAAGAATCACTTGAACCCGGGAGGCGGAGGTTGCAGGGAGCTCACGATCATGCCACTGCATTCCAGCCTGGGCAGCAGAGCCAGACTCTTTCTTTAAAAAAAAAAAAAAAGAAAGAAAGAAATTGAGATTTAGAGAAGTGACTTAAGTGGAGGGTCTTGGATATCATTCCTGTCTTGCCTCTTGAGAGATGCCATTCTTCTGTTAGTTTTTGATTTCCAGTCTCTGCCTAAGAAGGTGACCCGGAAACAATGCTTTTATAAAAGTTAGGTCAGCAGCTGGTTGCTGCTTTCTAGCTGTCAGAATCAACTGCCTTGTTGATTGTTTAAGGTTCTGACTTGTCTCTGCTCATTAGTGGTAATGATATGTCACTGCAGTGACCATTAACTTGATTATAAATCCTTTGTGTGGAAGAGGGAAAGATCTTCATCTTGAAAACTAGTTGCCTTTGGAACATGTCCAAAAACAGGGAAGAGGAATGTGGTTTTGGAAACCCTGGAATGAGAGATTTTTATAGGTAAATGCCAGGTATTTTATGTCTGGTAATGAGACAATTTAAGAAGACAGAAAAATTACAGGAAGACTTGAGTTATGAATAAAAAGGATATAGGTGGTACAAGTAAATGGCTTCATATAAGATAATGTGGGATAAAAAAGATGCTTGTGGCTGGGTGCGGTGGCTCACGCCCGTAATCCCTGGGCTTTGGGAGGTCGAGGCAGGAGGATCTATCTCTTGAGACCAGGAATTCAAGACCAGACTGGGTAGCATAGCAAGACCCTGTCTCTACAAAAGCTAATAAAATTAGCCAAGTGTGATGGTGCCCACCTGGAGTCTTAGCAACTCTGGAGGCTGAGGCAGGAGGATCACCTAAGCCTAGGTAGACTGCAGAGGCTGCAGTGAGCTATGATCACGCCACTGCAGTCTAGCCTGGGTAACAGAGTGAGACCCTATCTCTGAAGAAAACCAAACAGATATTTGTGTGAGTGTGAGCATTGAGATGCTAAACTGCCACAGTATGCGGTAGTGTAAAAATGGTGAACTCAACTATCCATTTAATAATTTCCCACATTCTTCTTTACATTTTGAATACACATAATCTTTTTACTGTGCACATATAAAAACTGTAGTCTGAGAGGTGAGTAATTGCCCATCTAATGCCATCTAATGCCCGTCTCCTTTGAGTGTGTAAGAGAACCACTCTTAACCAGTAAGATGTTTCTTTTTCCCCAACCTGGATGTAAACCTCTGAGTTTAAGGTGTGCTAGTTCTTTTATTTTTATTTATTTATTTATTTGAGACAGAGTCTCACTCTTGCCCAGGTTGGAGTACAGTGGGGGAATCTCGGCTCACTGCAACCTCTGTCTCCCAGGTTCAAGCAATTCTCCTGTCTCAGCCTCCCAAGCAGCTGGGACTACAGGCACCCACCACCCTACCTGGCTAATTTTTGTATTTTTAGTAGAGACAGGTTTTGCCATATTGACTAGGCTGGCCTCGAACTCCTGACCTCAAATGATCCACCTGCCTCAGCCTCCCAAAGTGCCAAAGTGCTGGGATTACAGGCGTGAGCCACAGTGCTTGGCCTGTTTTAATTTTTTTGTAGCTCTTTTTTAATGTATGAGGGTGTGATAGTTCTAACTACTGTGTTTTACCCAGCTTGGAGTATTTTCTTTCTTTTTTTTTTTTTGAAACAGAGTCTCGCTATATTGCCAGGCTGGAGTGCAGTGGCATCATCTCGGCTCACTGTAACCTCCACTTCCTGGGTTCAAGTGATTCTCGAGCCCCTGCCTCCTGATTAGCTGGGACTACAGGCGTTAGCCACCACACACAGCTAATTTTTGTATTTTTAGTAGAGACAGGGTTTCACCATGTTGGCCAGGATGGTCTCGATTTCTTGATCCGTTCGCCTTGGCCTCCTAAAGTGCTAGGATTACAGGCATGAGCCATTGTGCCAGGCTGGAATATTTTCTATTTTAACCTTTCCTCTTAAGTGATATAATATAGGATCTAGAATCAGGTCTGAGTTTGAATGTGCACTCCATCTCTTAAAAGATTGCCTTTTTTAATTTTTTGAGACAGAGTTTTGCTCTCGTTACCCAGGCTGGAGTGCAATGGCGCGATCTCGGCTCACCGCAACCTCTGCCTCCCAGGTTCAAGCAATTCTCCTGCCTCAGCCTCCTGAGTAGCTGGGATTACAGGCATGTGCCACCATGCCCAGCTAATTTTTATATTTTTAGTAGAGACGGGGTTTCACCATGTTAGCCAGGGTAGTCTCGAACTCCTGACCTCAGATGATCCACCTGCCTTGGCCTTCCAAAGTGCTTGGATTACAGGCGTGAGTCACCATGCCTGGTGACATTACTTTCCTTTTTTCTTCTGAGACGGAGTCTCACTCTGTTGCCCTGGCATGTGATCTTGGCTCACTGCAACCTCCGTCCCCTGGGATTCTAATTTTCCTGCCTCAGCCTCTGAGTAGCTGGGATTATAGGAGCCTGCCAACATGCCCAGCTAATTTTTGTATTTGTAGTAGAGACAGGGTTTCACCATCTTGGCCGGGCTGGTCTCGAGCTCCTGACTTTTGATCTACCCACCTCGACCTCCCAAAGTGCTGGGATTGCAGGCGTCAGCCACTGCACCTGGCCGATTACTTTCTAATATCTGTTTTCTCATCTGTAAAATACTGAGAGAACTAAATGCAGTAATGTATGGTAAGTACCAAGCATGATGCCTGGCACTTTGTAAGCATTCAGTGTTCTGCCATCAGTCAACCAATTTATTCATTCAAAATAAACTTTTTTTTTTTTTGAGAAGGAGTTTTGCTCTTGTTACCCAGGCTGGGGTGCAATGGCACGATCTCGGCTCACTGCAACCTCCGCCTCCTAGGCCCAGGCAATTCTCCTGCCTCAGTCTCCTGAGTAGCTGGGATTACAGGCACACGCCACCATGCCCAGCTAATTTTTTTTGTATTTTTTAGTAGAGACAGGGTTTCACCATGTTGACCAGGATGGTCTCAATCTCTTGACCTCGTGATCCACCTGCCTCAGCCTCCCAAAGTGCTGGGATTACAGGCTTGAGCCACTGCGCCTGGCTTTTTTTTTTTTTTTTTAAAACAGTCTCCCACTGTCGCCCAGGCTATAGTGCAGTGGTGCAATCTTGGCTCACTGCAGTCTTCGCCTCCTGGGTTCAAGCAATTCTCCTGCCTCAGCCTCCGGAGCAGCTGGGAGTACAGGTGTGCACCACCATGCCCAGCTAATTTTTTTGTATTTTTAGTAGAGATGGGGTTTCACCATGTTGGCCAGCATGGTCTCGATCTCCTGACCTCGTGATCCACCCACCTCAACCTCCCAAAGTGCTGGGATTACAGGCATGAGCCACTGTGCCTGGATATTTTTTTTGTTTTGATATGGGATCCCACTCTGTTGCCCAGGCTGGAGTGTAGTGGCACAATCTTGGCTAACTTCAGTTTCCACCTATGGGGTTCAAGGGATCCTCCCACCGCCACCTCCTGAGTAGCTGGAACTACGGGTATACACCATCATGCCCTACTAATTTTTGTATTTTTTGTAGAGACAGGGTTTCACCATATTGCTCAGGTTGGTCTTGAACCCCTGGGCTCAAGCCATCTGTCTGCCTTGCCTCCCAAAGTGTTGAGATTACAAGTGTGAGCCATCCCGCCTGGCCCAAAAAATCTTTATTGATCATTCTCAATGCTCTGCTGGGTCCTGTGAGTGTAGGTATGGGACTCAGGACAGAGAGAGCCACTGCTTTTATGGAGCTTACAGAGAGGATCAGTAGACATGGAAACAGTGAATCCAGATAATTGAGAGAAATGCTCTGAAGGAAATAAATAGTGAAAGGAATGAGAGAGGTAGTAACCAGGGAAGACCATTTTAGATAGTATGGTCAGGGCAGGTCACTCTAGGGGGTGACATTTCATTGACTAGCCAAGAAAAGGAAGGAGC